GAGCAGAACAGGCAGATCCACAAAGTACACTGCTGAGGGGAGCAGTGGGCGCCACAGGAGAGGTCTGCCGCACCATGTGGGTCACCTCCGGGGCAGGGATGGAACTCATGCTGAAGTGGCTTTAGTCTTAGTGCTGTGCTTTAACGCGCTGAGCCACCAGGGAGGGCCCATTACATAGTTTTAATATGTATAATTGGGGAGTCCCTCAATTTCCATTTTTAGAAAGATCCCACAGGCAACAGTGTAAAGGACTGTAAAACAAAGACAGGGAGTTCAATTAGGATACAGTTACAGAAGAGAATGATTTGAGAGGTATTTAACTGGCAGAAATAAAAAGATACAAGTGTAAAATGAGAAGTATTAACTGAACAAAAGACTACAAAGGGGTAGGGAAAGGGGAACATTCTAGAATATAGGATATTGAAGATTTGCAAATGAGTAGAGAAGGCTATCAGTTTAGTACTGATGTGTTAATTAGGGAGTGTCTGACCATTCATGAGAGCTGCCCAGGCAGCAGTAATCAAGAGTGCCTGAAGTCACTTGGTTAGGTGACAACTCAATAAGGAAAAAAGATCTGGTAAAGGATTCTGGGAAAAGCTAAAAGAGGCACAAAGAAAAGAGAAAATAGTATCATGAAGCTAAGGCAAAAGAAAGATTACAGAAGAGCAGTCAAAGTATTAAATATCCCCAAGGAATTGTTCAAGGTAAGAACAGAAAAGCACTTGTTAGGTAAGGCAATTAAGAGATCCAAGGTAACCTAAGTCATGGTGGAAGAAGTTGGGCTGTAACCTGAGATGGTTATTATTATTATTTTTTAAGTTACAATGAAATGGAGACATGCTACAAGAAGCTAGAAAAGAGCACATCCAGGAGAGCTGGAAATAATAGGTTTGTATATTTAAGATGGCTGAAACTCATCTATGTTATTATATGCCAAGAGCTAAGATTCTGTAGAAAAGGAGATGATGATGCTATGCTGAGAAGGTTTGAAGGATTTTATGTCTGAGAAAATAGCAAAACTCTGCCAGACTCTTCTGGTAGGGACGTAGCTAACCAAAGGTGAACTCAGGACCAGCAACATCGATGTCAGCTGAGAAAATGCAGGTCAGGCTCTCAGGCAACACTAGATTCACTGAATCAGAAACTGTAAATTTAATAGGATTTCTAGGTATACACATTAATGTTTGAGAAGCACTGTTCAAATACAACCAATTTGGAAACAGTCTTTATGAAATAATGGAGCTTAAGAACAAAGACCTCCCACAGCAATCTATGTAAATAGTAAAGAGAAAAAGCAAAATAATGCATACAATCCTTCAGATGTTACACATAACTTTCCCCCTACTGCATTTTTTTCCCCGAGTTTTAAGAGTTTTGTGCCAGAAAAAAAAGTATTTATTTTGTATTATACATCATAATATCACACTCACATTCCAGCTATAGCTTTGTATAATTTCACCTAATTTAACTAAACTAACTAAACTTATGAAAATAATTCCCAACTGCCTCTTCTTCACCCTCTCCATTTATTATTCACATCCATCAGTCTGGTTTTCTGCTCCTGAAATATTTTCCACTGAGACTGTTTTAAGATTTTCAATGAATTTATACTGGTTTATTTCACTGGGAACTCTTTATTCATCAACTTTCTTGATATTTTTGGAGCTTTTAAATAGGTTTCCCTTTATTATTTTTTTTGACTGTTTCTATTTTATTATTATTATTATTTTTTAATAATATAAGTTTATTTTTACATCATTTTGTACCAATTCCATTTTTTAAATCATATCTGGAGAAGTCTAGGTTAAATGAAAGTTAATTTTTCCAAACAATGGTTCTCAGAAATGAATATACTATTGTGAATTCTTGTTTTCTAAAAGGAGGATCTACCTCCTCTCCTCCTAAACTCACCTGACGGTGGGACCCTTTGCTGAAGCAATCATTTCACTTAAAATTCTTTTAAGAATAGACCTCAATACTGCTGTTTTTCACTGTGTAGCACAATATTAAGGGGAATAGACACTGAAAAGACCTAGGTTTGAGTCTTCCATGGAAAATGGAGATAATTTATACGAAAGAACTCTGATGATATACAAATACATGACAGCATTATTATTTCGGGTTCTTAGCATGTTTTAATCATTTGAAAATATTCTTAAGAGCAATTTTCCACATGAGATATTCCTCTACATTCTGATATTTATTTATTTAAGATTTATTTGTTCAGGCATACAAGAAATGGTGAATAGGCCAGCTCATTCTGATATTCTTATGTGCAACTTTATCACTGGATTCTAGATAGAATCCTTGAAATCTTTATACAAGCTCATGTCATAGGACAGGGGTCAGATCTACCTAGAACCTTGCAGAAGCTCATTACAACAGTGTGGTTCGGAAATAAACCAATAGAGGGACATATGAATCGGATGGGGACCAAAGGCAGTTACTATACAGACATGATTTCTTGGTGCTTTCAAAGACCTTCAAGTCTCTGTTGAAAATGGAAGTCAAATATGTAATATGTAAAAATATTTACAGCTGGTCACATAGCAGATTGTGATTTCTTCATCAGCAAAATCTTTAGTAAAATGGAAGTTCAAAGTAATTTTTCTTTTATTTTTTTTTCAACCAGACTCTATACCTTATTTTCCCAACACAAAATGTGAAGATAATATAATTGCTTAAGATTCAACATAAATATTAAGTGAATAAATGAATGCAACTTAAATATATGAGTTTTCTCCCTATATGCTATACACCCAAATATATGCATTTTGTATCCAAATAACATGCTGAAAATATCAGTATGGGGAAATGAAGACATAAAGAGTTCTAGTTTCCTGTTACTATGGGAATACCATGTGGATAAGAATGTTTTTGTTGAAACTGGTTTTTTTTACTTCATTGACATTTAGGAAACAAATTCTGTGGTGTACTTCTATCATATCTATAGGTGTATTTCCTTAATAATAAAAAGGATACATGATAATAGCAAGTTTGGAGTGACCTCAACTTGTATAAAACTGACTAAAATCCAATCACAAGAACAAATTCTCTTACAACATAATGACTTACAGCTTCAAAACAATTATACTTAAATACAGTACTTGAGTATTATTATAGTAGTTTGCTAAATACAGGGAAAAGCTTTCTGATTATATGTCGAAGGTAAGTGTATGCATATAGTATTAGGACTTAATAAATATAAAACTATTTCAATTAAATTGTAGGTCTTATGTAATAAATTCTTCAAGTAATATCTAGTTTTGGCACACTAGGGCATCATTTTTATTTTTTTTTAGAAAATAAAGTATAATCTTTGGTGCCATTTTTATTTAAAGATTCTAGTTCAAGCATAAATTCAGGTAAGTTCAGACCCACCAGGAGGTTATGATTAAATGAAAATATGAAATTCAAGATATAATAAGTATAAAAGTGTTGAAGGATGGTGTCAGTAAGTGACTGAAGTGGAAAGAAGGAGGTGTTCAGCATGGTTGAAAAATATAATAAACTTGGATCTAGGTGTGAACATCATCATGAAGATGTTGAAATAGCCAAGGATAGTAACTACAGGATTCATATGTCAAATAGAGTGCATAACAGAGAAGTGATATTGCTTAATAACAGTACTTTACAGTCTCTCCCACATTGTCACTGAAATGAAACATTTAAGATGGAAATCATATACCTTTTCCTTTAATTTAAATTTTTATTCCATTATTCTCTAGGTCAGTGTTTCTCAACCTCAATATGGTTAATATTTTGGGCCAGATCTTTTTTGTAGGGAGCTACCATGTATATTTAATTTCTAATACTTCAACAGATTCTTCATGGGAAAAGCCATCAGATGAGTAAATTAGTAGTTGTAGATTGTAAAACTATTTCCAGCAACAACTGAACTAATGTTAGTAAATGGTATTATCTTACTTACAAATTTTATAGATGGTACATTTCTCTGGGTCTGTATGTGAAGTAAAACATTATTCTTATATGCTATCAATTTTTAAATACTGGCTACATCCAGTAAAACTTTAGTTGATGCCTGTAGGAAATGAATTAAGGACAATCACAGAACACCTCATCAAATTTAGATACGTATAACACCTTACTCAAGAAATAATTTTTAAAATACTAGTGTTGTTGAATTAGAGTAGTCAATTTCTGGGTTCCAGGGGTTAATTAAAAAGTCTTTAAGAATCATAATAAATACACACTCACTGCACTATGTCAAAGTGGCTGCCTAGTACCTTATTTTCTGTTATCCTTATAACAGTGAAAGTCTTCAATTATTTGTTCCCCAGAATTCCTTTCTTGAGATGCTTTTAAGATTCTTACCCAGAAGGTGGGAACTAAATAATTACTCCGGGCAAGTTACTTATTTTCTTAACCTTATTTCTATTTTTTATAAAATAGTGTAGAAATATATTTAACTTAAAGAAGATTAATTTGTCTACTTATCTCTCTATAAAGTATATTCAAACACACAGCATAAAAGAACATGAGGTACTCAGAAAACTACAATAGTTCAGGTTGATCAATGAAAATACTGAGTTACAAGAAATTTTATTTATTGAAGATAGCAAATTCTCAACTTTGTATAATGTTACATAGCAGTAATATAGTACTTCCCTTATTTAAGCAAAAGTGGATACAAATAACTACTAATGTTTGGTGTTTTGAAACATTACTACATTTTATTAATGTTTTCCCCCCTCTTCTCTCATGAAACTTAAAAAATATTTTAGGGAAAATATACACAAAGATTTTTAAAGGCATTTTGGTTTCTCCAAAAGACTCAGAATAAAGAAAACATCTGATATAAGAATGTTACAAGGAAGAAATTTCTCTAATTTAAAATATTCACAGGCCACCTGAGACCAAAAAGCTTATGGAAGACCAATAAATGAACACATACACATATAAACACATACTTATACACACATATGTAACATTTCTATTAAATAAAAAGATGATAAACATTTAAAAGGGGTTCTATTTACCTCTTCTACATTGGAAGCAGTCTTAGCAGAAGTTTCCATGAAGATAAGTCCATGTTCTCGTGCAAAAGCTTCACCTTCTTCTTTTTTCACTTCTCTTCTAGATTCTAAATCACTTAACATAAGAAAAAAGGGGCAATGTTATTAACTAACATGGCACCTATGTGGACTCCTGTGGAAACTACTATGGGACTCAAAACTGTACTGATCATTTTTTAGTTTATAATACACAATAACCAACCACATTACTCTGAATATTATGAGCATGCAGGTGTCTATAGCCCACTGCTTAGTTTCAAAGAACTAACAATAACGAAAGATTCTTAGTAATAGTCCTACAATGCTAAAACTAAGAGATACCTACAGGGTACAACTAGCCCAATACCCCTGGACTTTGATGACAGTGGCTTCCCAAAGAAGTGAACAACTTTTAGCTAAAAATAACAATTTGAGAGAGTTGAACTACACTAGTATCCTCATCTTCAACCAAGTGGGAGTTTCTATGTGTTGATAAAAAAATAAGTCACATGGTTCTCTGAAGCTATACAATTGTTTAGTAAAATCCAAATACTAAAGAAACATTAATATTACTAAGTCCCAGTTTCTTTTTAAAGTGAAACTAATGATACAGAGAGGAGAGAGGAAGAGGTGAGTGTCTGAAACAGAAATTTTAAACACAGTTTGGGTTTATATTACACTAGAATTGTGTAAGTAAAGTAGGAGGGAGGAGGGCCCTCCCTGGTGGCACAGTGGGTTAAAGCACAGAACTAAGAAGCTTAATCCACTTCCCCATGAGTTTGATTCCCGCCTGCCACGGAGGAGATCCACATGGCATGGCAGACCTCTCCTGACCCACCTGCTCCTCCCCTCAGCAGTGTACTACATCATCTGCCTTTTCTGCTCCCCTCTCTGTCTCTGGTGAATCCTCTCACTCTCCGCATCTCTGGCCTGTACCCCAGTTCTGTATGCATAAATAAATAAATCTTAAAAAAAAAAAAAGTAGGAGGGAATAGCAAGTCTCCAATTGTGCTTTATGATAAAACTTTACTATTATAAAGTATTTCAAGCACATCTAAGATGGAAAATATAATATCCATGTGCTTTTATCTAATCTTGACATATTAGACAGATTTTTTAAAGATTTGGTTTCTTTTGAGAAAGTAAAAAGTTATAGTTGAATCTCCTCCTCATGCCTGTCTGTTCATCTCATTCTCGTCCCTTTTAACCTCAAAAGGAACCACTACTCTGTATTGGGTGCTTTCATTCTCATACATGTTTTTATATTTATATTCATCCTTATAGTCAAGTAATACACAGGTTTTTTGTTCACATTCTAAAAAGTTCTACAACCTGTTAACTTTGATCAGCACTGTTCTTTAGACTTACCATATATTGTGAGCTGACTTCTTAATTTCACACAATTTTTGTGTGTCAAAAATTGCCCAGTGTAGTAGTTTTCAAATTACATTGTGACTCAGTGAATTGTAAAACTACTTCACTAACTCATAATCAGTTTTTTTTAAAATAAAGAATAGAAAATATCAGACTATGTCACTCACTGTTTCATGGAATTTTTGTTATTTATGTAGGTACATAAAATTTATGTACATCATGATGTAAATGTATTTCTTTTAGGTCAAAATAAAACACTTGAAAACCACTACACTTGGAATAATATATACTACATACAAAATTGCTTCCCAAAAGTTGTAAAATTTATATCTTTAGCAGTAATGTTCTAAAGCTCCCACTGAATCACATAGCCTTAACAGCACTTGTTAAGATCACATCTGTTAGTATCTGCCAGTCTGATGAATATGAATGGCATCACACATTTAGTTTGCTTTAGCTGAGTACTAGTGAGTTTCATAAATGCTTATAAGTATCCTCATTAAATTAGGGGGAAAAAAAATCCAACAAGTCATTCAGGAACTTGGGATGTATCTGAACAAGCCAGGCTTTCCCTGGTGGTACAACAGGTTAGGACACAGTGCTGAAAGCTGCTGTAGCCACTTCAGTGTGAGTTCAATCCCCAGCGCCGGTGGTGATCCACATGGTGCAGCAGACCTCTCCTGTCTCACCCACTGCTCCTCTCAGCAGTGCACTTTGTTGATCTGCCTACTCTGCTCCCTACTCTGTCTCTAGTGAATCCACTCACTGCCCCTGCCTGTACCCCTGTTCTGTAAACATAAATAAATAAATCTTGAAAAATTTTATGGGGTCACACAACAGTAATAAATGAGTGAAGTCCGGTGTGTTAGAAAGTACCTAGCATGAAAGAGCAGAGTCAGCAGAATCAGGAGTGTTAGATGAAGAGGAAGTTTATTCTATTAGTCTTACTACAACTGATTCACTTCAAATTTCTTTTGTTTAGTTTTGTTTTTTGACCCCTAAGTGAATGTTTACATACACTTATAATCATGCTATAAATGCAACTTTGTGTCCTAATTTTCTTTAGTGAATATTAGTTGCTTTTAGTGAATATTTTTGTTACTTTCCACTAAACATGTCATTTTTAGTGCCTAATAATATCAATCCAACCCATCCAGTGGGTACACAATTTACTTAATCATTTCCTTACTGTCCAATGACAAAAGGAACAAAGTATGCATTAGATACTGTGAAAGTATTTTATAAGGGGTGTATCATTCAATTCAGCTGACCTATGAGGAAATTGATGCATAAAGAAATTAACTAAAATTCCAGGTTTACTCTAAGAAGGGCTATACTGGATCATTAAAATGTTTAAGTTACTGTTTTTTTTTTGATAATAATTGAATATAGTTTAGAACTTCTTGTAAAATGGAAAAACACCTCATTTAACCCAATGTAAAATAAAGACAATATTACAGTTTTACAAAATTTGTCAAAAATTGTGTAACTTCAAAGTTGGCTAAATTAGGTTTACAAAATTGCCATTCAGCAGTTCATTAGCAGTCACTATCCTTTTGTAACTGAGACTGCTGTGAATGATTCTGATAGCTGCTTTATACTTCAGTTGTTATAACCCCTCAGTTGTTAAAAATACTTAACAATTTATAAAACACTGTATAAACATTTATCCAGTGGACTAAGTGCTAGTGGGAAAAAAACACTCCCAAAACCTGAAATGTTGGAGGCAGACTTCTGGTCCTCTGCACTGTTTCCTTAGCAGTATAGTTCAGTCAATCTGCCTGTTCTGCTCCCCACTCTGTCTCTAGTGAATCCTCTCACCACCCCTGCACCTCTGGCCTGTACCCAGTTCTATATGCATAAATCAATTAACCTTAAAAAAAAAAAATTAGTCCCAGTTTCCACTACCAGTATCTCTGATTGCATTTGCCAAATGTTAGCAAAGCAGGTTAAGACTGCATCATGTTTGAGGGGCTGTTTAAACAAAAAACAAAAAAACAAAGTGGTGCTTTAGAACTCATGAATTTTGTTTCAAAACTCTACTTTGGTCATCTCCTCAGTTTTCCAGATATAAAATAATATCTCTATCTCTGAATTTTCACACCCCCCAAGTTCCATTAAGTTTGTATCATTACTCAAAGAGCTTTCCTAAACCATTCTCTTAATTTATGCTAGCTTTCTATTGTTGTTTAGGTTATATTATCATCATTTGACTACAAAAATATTTCACTTTTGTAGAATTTGCTTTCCATTTTTTCTATAACCAATTTAAAATGCCATAGTAAGAAAAATCTGTGTCATCTGTCACTCTGACGAGGTCACTGCCCTTCTCAAACCCCTTCCCTGGCTCCCTACTGCTTAATGCATCTAATTCAAAAATTGCTTATTCCCTGTTTCCATGTCTACCCCAATTCACTTCATTTAATAATAATCACCTCATTTATCTTTGTTCACTTCCACTCACTGTTTGCAACTTTTTCTTTTTCTGTTCTTCCTTTCTCCTACCTGTTCTTTAAAATGTTTTTCTTTAGCCATTATACTAATTATAAGGACTATCCACTCACAATTATTAGAAACACCTCTTCTATATACTATTCATTACTTTTCCTTCTTACATTTCGACTATATACAATTCATGGACAGCAACCAAATTTAACCTGGTAAGCTGCCTTCATCGTGCTTCACACAGAGAGAAACGATGGGAAAGTATAAAAATCCTCTTTATTCTCCAAAGAGTTTCCTCTTACTATTTCATAAATCTCTACTGAATTGTAAAAGACCAATTTTTTCTCTTAATATTAGTATTAAAGTTAAAAGATTTAGTGAGGGCTCTCGCTGGCAGTGCAACAGGTTTAAGCGCAGCACTATGAAGCTCGTCAAAGCCACTCCAGCACAAGTTCAATCCCCAACCAGGGAACCTACTCATAAAGCGTGGTTGACCTCTTCTGACCCGCCAGCTGCTCCCCTCAGCAGTGTATTTCAGTCAATCTGCCTGTTCTGGTCCCCATTCTGTCTCTGGTGAATCCTTTCACCACTCCCCACCTCTGGCCTGTACCCCAGTACTTATATGCATAGATAAATAAATCTTAAAAAAAAAAAAAAAGATTTAGTGAGATGATTCAAATGAGAAAAGAATAATCAGGAAAGGTCTGCGTGAAGAAGCCAGAAAACAAAACTCCCACTTACAAAGAGGTAATCAATCTTTGGCCTTTTACAATGGAAATATCAGTTAAATAAGTATCTTAACAGTAAAGTCTGATTTCTATCAAAACATAATTTTCTAAAGTAATATTTATTTAGTATGTTAGCTGCTATCTTATTGGCTCTTGTCTTTACAAATTTATTGAGTATAACTGACATACAAATGCTATATTTAATAAAAATCTGATGAATTCTGACATGTAGCTACATTTGCAACCTAGTGGCTCCCCAGTTTCCTCATATACCCCCAATGTAATTCTCATTTTACACCACCCCCACCCTGGTATTCTAAGCAATTAATGATGTGCTTTTTGCTACTCTAGTCTTTATGTTCTAGGATTTTATGGACTCACACAGTACTGACTTCTTTCTTTGGCCTTTTTTACTCAGCATAATTATCTTGAGAGTCATCTACTTTGTTAGTTATATAGCTCACTCCTCTGTACTGCTGAATGGTATTCCATTGTGTGGCTGTATTAGTTAATCTGTATTCACTTATTAAAATTTGGCGTTGTTTAGAGT